TGGCCTTTTCTTTGGCACCACTTATCCTGAAATAACAAGGACTTCATGTAGTCCCAGCCTTTTCTTTATCCAATGGTTGCCAAATCTGGCCTGAGCCTGATTGAGCCACTCAGCAGGGCAGTTGCAGGATTGTACTGGCTTATTCCAAGTCAAAAGCTAGAGCAGCTACTGCCTTGGCACATATGTTGGTGCTTTATTCCTTTAGCATTGTGGATGAATAGCCTCCTCTGCTTTTGTATGTAGCAGAGACATATTATTATGTATTAGAGACACCTCAAGTCTCTCACATCTCTTTCCTATACCCATGGCACAGAGAGCCTGGCTCCCTCCTCATGGACATGCAGAGAGACAAAAACACATGTTATATTGAGCATATCATGATTGTATAACATGTAAGGCTGTGTTGTCATGTGTATCTGCAACTGTGTCCTTTTGTATTGCCAGCACCCAGCACAGTGCTTGACATAACAAAATTGCTTAATAGGTATATTTTTAATGAATAAGTTGAACCCTTTCAGGATACAATAAGTACCATGATTAAGGTACGAGGCTTTGTCAAAATACATGCTGGGTGTGGTGGCACACTGCTGTAATCCTTGCACCTTGGGAGGCTGAGGCAGGAAGACTGCAAGTTCCAATCTAGCCTGGGAAATTTAGTGAGACACTTTCTCAAAATAAAAAATAAAAGAGGTGCTGGGGTTGTAGCTAGTGGTAGAGTGCTGCTGGGTTCAACCCCCAGTATCAGGGAGGAAAAGGAAAAAAAAAAAAGAAAAAAAAAGCCTTGTCAAAATACAGAGTAGAAAGAGACTGTTTTCAGTTTGGGAGAGGGTGAAGTCTTCACAGCAGAGGTAGAAATTGAGCTGGGGGCAAGGGATTTAGCTCAGTGGTTTTGCTGCCTGCCTCACAAACGCAAGGTGCTGAGTTCGATCCTCAGGACGAAAAAAAAAAAGATATTGAACTGGACTTTGAAAACTAGGTAAGCCAGGGATGGGCAGAGGAGTGAGTGCATTCCTGGCAGAAGAAACAGTGTAAGAAAAGGGCAGGGGAGAAGGAGCAGAGCTTATTAGGTGACTGACCGGTTTAGACAGGGGATGGGACGTGAGTGTGTGAGCACCTTATATGGAAAGTCAGACTGGTAGGATAGAATTAGAAAACAAAGGCCCTTGAGTGTCTTGCTCAAAAGTTTCTACTTGATTCTACAGGCAGTGTGGAGCCATCTGATGCTTTTGATGTCTGTGTGTATATGTGCCTGTGTGCATGCGCTTGATGTTTTTGAGGCATGTAATATGTTTGCTTAGAAAGATTAGCTGTATCCTTTAGGAAACTCAACCAGGGAAGCATTTCTTTTGCAAGATGTATATTGAGTGCTTCTAAGGTACTTGGCACTTTGTAGGTGGAGGAGGGATTGGAGCCGGACTTAATTGGCCAAGAGGTTAGTTGGACTATTGTTAAGCTATTGTAGTCCAGGCAAAATCTACTGAGGGCCCTGAAGTGACTTAGTGGGAGCTGGGGTGGAAAGAAGTGGGGACAATGGAATGAGAGAAAGACTGAATGACTAATGATAACTATCGCATTTGAGTGGCTCCTGTGTGCCAGCTCTCATGCCAAGTGCTTTATACATTATCTTACAATAACCCCTTTGATCGATGAGGACAACTGAGGCTCAAAAAAGCAAAAGAACATGTCCAAAATTATCTAAGAAGGAAATGGTGATGACTAGACTTCAAACTCAGCCTGGCTCCAGAGACCATACTATTTTGCTTTTGAGGGAGTTGGGGACGTGTGTTTTCTTGGAAAAGTAATTCAGTAACTTAGCCTAAGCATGCTCCCCTTTCTCTCATCTATACAAAAGAGGTGTAGTGGCAGAGGGTCCCTCCTGCTGCCCCTCCAGTGGTTCTTCAAGTGCCTCTCACTCCTGTGGTGGAAAGATGGGCCTGGTGAGATAGGAGGTGTGGAGATGTGTGGCCTGGTGTGGAGATAGGAGACTGGTACACTAGAATCAGAGACTGCAACACAGGCAGAGAATTAGTAATCCCCAGACCATGCGGAGTACACTTATTTAGACCACATGCAGGGAGGTAGGCCAGCAGGTAGGCCAGTGGGCCAACAGGTTGGGTGGTTGGACTTTAGACTGGAACCATTATTTATGAATTAGGTGATCCACACCAAAATCTTGAGCCTGGCTTCCCTTGAAGAATAAGGTCTGGCAATGCTGGGCCTACATTCCCCAGAAACACCCCTGGGTCTGTGTTGTCCCTGTGCCTGTGCCCTGCAGTTGTCACCATGCATGGGTAAGTCACCACTTTTCCACAGCTCAGTCCACTTCACTACTTAGTCATCTGCCTGAGCCCTGCAGATGGTTGGCTTTGTGATTCCTTGTCTAGAATGGTCTACTACAGTTTCCCCTTTTAAGATCTGGGCCAACAGGGGGCCTGGCACCCGGTCAGCATCCTCTGGTACCATCCCCTTTCCAGGTCCTAGATTGTTTCCCAGGGTGCAAGCTGGGCGCCGCAGAACAAAGCCATGGAGAGAGGATTATCATCAAGTCTTACCATTTATTTCTTTATGAGTTAAACAAGAGCAGAGGCCTCTGCCCCACAATGCGACAAAACAGAAAGCAGTACACATACAGAGACTCTCACTGAAATACAGAGGCAGGGAGAAGAGAGAGGGAAGAGACAACTGAATCATAGCCAGGTAAGGGATGAAGGGATGGGGGACTACTAGGAAACCAGCTTGGAGACTCAGTCATAGGAACTAGTGCAAGAAAGTCCTACTCATGAAGCACAGTGTAGAAAATGGCATAAGAAAGCTGCCCAGCTTTGCTGCCTGTGATGGAGGGCAGGGGCAGCTGGAGAGGTGGTGGAAGGTAAGGGTGGTGGGGTGAATGGGGATAGTCGTATGACTTTGAGGTGGAGTGTGGTGCCCCTTTCCCCTGCCACTGGGCAAGGCCTCGGGCTGGTCTGAGCCAGGGGTCTCCTGGGCACTTGGTGAGGGGGGAGAGAGGATGGGAGTCTCCAAAGGTCCATTTCCTGGGGCCATATGTCCCCCTTTACTTCCCAATCTCTTTTCCTCTCCTGAGGATGCAGAAGTTAGGAGGCAGTACCTGGGGTCTCTCTGGAACCCAAGCATCCGCCCCTTCACTTTAACATAAGCCAGCACCTCTTCTCCTCCCTAGCAGAAAAAGAGTACTCTAGAGCAAGTGCCTGTGGCAGGGCCAAAGTGCTGAGGGCCAGAGGAGTGTATGGACAGGGCACAAGGGAAGAGGCGGGGGGACAGGCTGTGAAAAATGAGAAAACTGGCAGGGAAGGACTCCCCAGGCTCATGAAGCTGATTTGGGACTCGGCTGAGGCCCTTGAATGTTTCTTTCTCCCAGGGAAGCTTCCCATTCATCCCTAAGTGGACCAAGTCCAGCTCTCCCTTCCCATTTTTTGGGGAGTTCATTGTAATGCAGCTCTAGCCCCCCGCCAACACTAGCATTACATCCTAGAAGGACTCAGGTGCTCCTGGCACTGAAAGCCCCTGGCCTGTCCCACACAGTTCTGGCTCTATTTCTTGTCAGCTTTTGTTGGCTTTTAGATGTCTTAGGCAATGTGGCCTCCCCCTCCCAGGACACTAGTATAAGGCTAATAGACCCCAAGGGATACTTGATGCCTCTTTCCCCATCCAGCCCCCTAGCCCGACCAAAGAGTTCAAGTCTCAGCCAAGGGACAACAGCCCATTTTCTGTAGTCAAAAGGCCAGCTTGCCAGTCTCTGGATTTTCTCTGGGAGGGGCCAGGGGTGACTGGAGCAGGGGACCTGCTACAGGGTGAGGATCTGGTTGTTCCACGGTTAGGATAGTAACCCATGGGGTCGGGGGGGTGTGGAGGGACGAATACTCTTTGGTAGGCTGGGGATGGGGACAGGGTAGGGCTGGGGGAAGCTCATCTCTGGAGAGCTCTGGTGCAATGTCACCAGGTTCTCCTTCATGGAGGCCTGGGCTAGGACAAGGTGGAAGAGTATGAGGACCCAGGCCAGGAATGACCCACATGGGCTCAAGTCCCTCCTCCCCACAGAGATCAGAAATGAAAGGTCTTTGGCCCCAAGGCCAGGATCTTCAGGGCAAGAGTGGCCCTTGGAAGTATGTGCACCTTCTGTAAGATATGGCCCTTCAGACAGCGGCAGTCCAACCATGTGCCCTCAGCCTTCTGTTTTTCAGCCCAACAGCTCAGCTCTTGTGCTCTTTCCCCAAAGGGCTCTTTCCTTCTGCAACTCTCTCTGACTTGGGGATCAGTTCGTGAGCCTGCCTCAACACTAATCACTCACTTCCCCAAAAGCCAGAAGGCAGGGGCCCAAATGGCCATCTCTCTAGGCCCTCTGTCCGTATGTCTTCTTCTCCCCCTTCCCCTTCTTTCTTCTCTTTCCCCACTTAGTCCGTACCCCATTCCTACCCCTCAGTGCCTAGGATGGTGGGGCACAGGTTTTTTACTGGGCTCCCATCTAGCTGCAACTGTGTGCACCTCATCTCCCAGCCTGGCACGTCATCCGTGACAACCCCATGTGGGGCAAGCTGCTCAGAAGTAGGAGGAGGGCCATTGCACTGTCTGCCGTCGCCTGTAGGGATATGGGCTGGAGGGAATTAAGGATCTTGGCAACAAAAGGAATGCAGAGGGGTGGAGGGAGAGCATCTCCCCTCGATACCCCCCAACATTCCTGCAGGGCCAGGGGCTGAGTGAGCAGCCTCCTACCCTGGGGTTAGGGCCCTCAGCGGGGATGGGCAATTCCAGCCCTCACTCCCCGCATTTTTTGCTAAGTCCCACAGATGGGGCTTGGGTTTGGGTACCTGCTGCTCCTACCTTTTTCCCTCAAATGAGTTTGCAGCTCCCTAGGGCTCTCTGCCCATTCTGTTGGAGCTGCTTTTGGGGTAGGGGTGCGTTGGGGGATGTGAGGCCCCCCACTTCCCTCCACCCCCCACCTGGTCCTTCACCTCCCATGGGAGGAGCTCCCCCCCCCCCCCACCCCCCCCCGCAACCTGAGGGGGAGCTGGAGCTGATATCAGTGTGTGGTGGAGGTCTGTCTTACCTCCCTGCTGTCACTCTTCCTGCATCAGGCCCTCTTCTAGAGCAGGCAGTGTCTCCAGCCCCAGTCCCCCACCACCCTGGTTGCTAGAGAAGGACACCACGGTATGGAGGATCATGAGGACAAGGACACAGAGCCGGATCCTGCTGGGGCTGAGGCAGGAGCCCCCAGAGACCGGCAGCAGGGAGGGCTTGTGGCTGACACGGCCTGGGGGGTCATGGCGGGGGTGATAGTGGTGGTACTGTTGGTGGTAGTGGTGGAAATAGGAATGGTGGAACTGCTGGTGGTGGGTTTTGGGGGCCTCAGACTCTTTGAACTTCTTCTTCTCCGACTCACAGGAGACCCACTGCACATCACAGCACTTGGTTTCCGGCCGCTTTGGTGAAGTATCCAGCAATCCTGCCAATGGATAAGGAAGGTGTGGTGGGGTACTCAGGGGGCTGATGACTCTGCCTTACCTGGAGAGATTTTTCAAAGCTGGGACTGCTCAGCCCTATCTAAGGCTTCTTTGCTCTTGGCCCTTAGCACCTTCCCTTTCTGAGCCCTTCTCTCCCAGGGGACCCCAGCTATGGGGATGCCTCTGTAGCTGTGTATATTCTGGGTATAGATGGCCATTCTGGTCCTTTTTCCTATTATGTTTGGCTTCATATCAACCTGGGGACCTTGCTGCCCAGTCCTCCAGCCACTGACCTTTTTGCTGTTGTCCTCACTGCTCCCACCCCGCTGACCTGCTGACTGACTGCCTTGGATCCACAGCCTCCTCCCTCTTCCCCAGTACCCTGCCTTTACCTGTACAGATAAAGCCAGGGAGCCCTCCATACACCATTTCCTCATTGTCAGGGAGGATAAAGGGACACCGGGTCTGCACCTCCAGGCAGTATTGCTTGCAGGGCACCCAGCGCTGGCATTCCTGCTGGGTCACGCTGAAGTATTCGGAGCACAGCCAGGCCTTGTAGACAGCCTGTGGGGAGAGGAAACAGCATCAGCCCATGTGCCAGCCCTTCTCATCTCAGAGGACAGGGATGGGAAGGGCATTCTTGTGGTCTCTGAAGGGGACCTCGCCAACCTAACCGCAGAACCCTGGCAGTGAAGAGGAGGAAATGTTTGGTCAAGCCCACTGCATCCTACCCTAAGATCTCCCGTGTCATAGCCAGGGCTCCAAGTTAGCCAATCTAGTCATCCAAGACTTAGAATTTGTTGGCAGCTTCTATGTCAGAGTGAAAGGAGGTTTACTAACCATTCTACTCACCCTATCATTTTATACTTAGTTCAAAGAGGTGTCTTGACTCAAAGTTATCTATACATATTTTTAATGAGGCAAATTTCAGTTCCATTCAATTTGGCAAATGTTTCCTGGGCTGATGGTGTTCAGTTTCTAAATTGAAAAACATGGAGAGAATAATCCTTGTTCTACCACTACCTCATTAAGGTATCATGTGGATCAAATAATATGACACATAAGAAAATTTTTCTAAATGTTAATGGGCAATACAAATGTGAAAGATTACCTTCAATAAAAACAAATCTATCTGCTTTCCTAGGCATATGTGTGCCTTTAAACTCAAATTAATCCATGCTTTTTCCTGTTGGCTTCAGCCTCGATGTACAACAGAAATCATGGACATTTCCTTTGGAATCGTGACTTTGAAATTTTCCTTCATGGGCATATTTCCTGCCCTTCATCTAGCCCCTCTCCCCCAGGAACTGCATCTTAGCTAGAAAGGTCCCCTGTGCCATACTCTGGCTATCGCCAAGCCCAAGGGTTCTCAACAGCAATGATGCTAACATTTTGAGCGAAATAATTCTTTGTCATAGGGGTTGTGCTGTAAAAGTAATGTGGCTACTAAGCAGAATCCCTGTTCTTTACCCTAAGTGCCAGTAGCATTCTTCATTTTCCCCTATTATGAGAAGCCAAAAATGGCTACAGCTATTTTCAAATGTCCCCTGGGGGGGGGCTCCAGAGCCACACCTTTGTGCAACCGCCACCATCTTCCACCTGGATGAGTCTGGTCTCTGTTCTCCTCACCTCCACTCTTGCTCTTTGCAACTCACTCTCTTCATAGGAGTAAGAATGGCCTCAAACCTCAATCAGATTGCTATTCCCTTTGTCTTTTTTTTTTCTTTTTTATTGAGTTTCTTGGTACATTTAGGGATACAGTACAGTTACATTCATTGTTGGGATCATGTACCTTTACATGGCAAGTCTTGATTCTCATTTTTTTCCCCTTACCTCTGCCCTCCCTTCACCCCCTCCTCCCCTCCCCATCTACAAACACTTTATTTTCATCTTTTCATTCTCTCACATTTTTTTCTTTTCCCTTTTTGTTCTTCCCCTACGCATCACACCTTCTAAACCCTGCAATGCAATTGGACTAAAACCCCTAACATTTGAGCATATAATTCAAACCCCTGCACAATTTTGCTTCTATATCTCTCTAGCCTCATTTTCTTTTTCTTTCTTTTTTTTTTTTTTTTTTTTTTTTTTTTTAGCAGGCGGTGGAACCACTGAGCTAAATCCCAGGATCTCTAGCCTCATTTTCTACTTCTCTATTCAAGTTCATCATGCTCCACAGGTTTTCTTTTTCTCTCTTCAAGACATCCTATTTCTTCCCATCTTGTGGCCTTAACACATGCTGTTCTCTTGGCCTGGAATGCACCTCGCCACTTTTGGCATATGTGGGTCTTTTCTCATCTTTGAGGTTTCCATGTCACCTACTCAAAGAGGAATTCCCTGACTACTGTCACCAGAGGATGTAGCCCTCATTTATTCTTGCTTTTCCTTGTTTCTTCACTACAAGCATTACATCCTTGCTTTGGGGTTCTGTCAACCCCACGAAGATGTGAATTGTATGTAGGCAGATATGGGCTTGTCTTATGCATACTGAGTGCAATATTCATGAAAAATATCTGTTGACTAAATGAACAGGACAAGTAAATCCAGGCAGGCGCCTACTGTCATACAAGTTTCAGGTTTGTGGGTAGACATATTTAACTTGAATCAGTGGCATCTGATCTATACTATAGGGGAAGTCAAACCAGGGACGATTGTTGGGGTAAAGCAAGTAGAAAAGCTGGAAAAGGCTTCAGTGAGGGGTTTATAGCTGTTCCTGGACTCAAAGTAGGGTTTTAAAAACAGAGTGAGCAGAGATAAGGCAAAAGGGCTTTCAAGGCTGAGGCAAGAGCTTAAGCAAAGGCCTGGAGGTGAGTGAACGCATGGTGGCCTAAGAGAACAGGAAACATGTTCACATAAATGGAATGGAAAAGGTACCAATTTCCTACTCAAGGACATTTATTTCCAAATTGTCACCGTGACAAACAGTGCTCCATTGAATATCTTCATATACATATTTCTTGCACAGTTGTCTTCAATTTTATAGAAATTCCTAAAGATGAAATTATTAGGATAAAAGGTATATGCAAAGGAATGGAAAGGAAGGAAAGGAAGGTGAAGGTAAGAGGCAGGGTAAGAGGGCTGGAGAGGTGAAGAGAGCAGTAAGAGGGGCTTAAGGGGTGAGAGAGTGGCTACAGGGTAAGGGGTAAAAAGTGGTGCATAAGACGGTAAGACAGAGTGCAGTTTGGAGGGGTAGGGCTGGTATCAGTAGTAATCCTGGGGGTGGGAAAAAACAGGGTTAGGAGAAAACAGAATAAGAGATGGAGGGTATAAGGGAGATAAAGGGTAAGAGAATGGGGTGAAGGTGAGAGAAGGATAAAAAAGGGTAGAGAGATAAACGCATGCTATAGTTTGGATCTGAAATGTCCCCCAAAGGCCCATGTGTTAAAGGCTTGGTCCTGGCCTGTGACGTCACTAGGAAGTGGTGGAACCTTTAGGAGGTGGGGCCAACTGGGAAGAAGTTAGGTCATTCGAGACACGTCCTTCAAGGGGATACTGTGACCTTGCCCCCCCTGCTGTTTTTGCTTCCTGAAAGCTGTGAGGTGAACACATTTCCTGTACCATGTACTTTTATGGGCTGTAGTGTCGAGATTTTACCCAGGGCCTTGCGCATGCTAGGCAAGCGCTCTCCCACAGTGCTGCTCCCCTAGCCCTCTACCATGCATTTCTGCTATGACACACTCTGCCATAAACAGGGCCAAAGCAAGATTGCTTTTAGTCTGTGACCATGGACTGAAACCACAAGTCAAAATAAATCTTGCCTCCTTATAAGTTGATTATCTCTAACCCTAAGTTGATTATCTCAGGAGCCAGGGATTTAGTGCAGTAGCACTGCGCCTTCCTCAAAAGCGCAAGGTCCTGAGTTCGATCCCCAGTAGCAAAAAAAAAAAAAGTTGATTATCTCAGGTGGCTTGTCCCGTAGAAAGCTAACACAGAGAGACAGGGGACATATAAGGGGATAAGATGGAGGTAAGAGGGACCTTCCAAGAGGATAGGTAAGAAAGAGGGGGTAAAAAAGATTGGGGTAGGAGGTGGATAAGGAAGGCATAAGGGTTGATGAGAAAGATGGAAGTAAGTGTAAGAAAGCAGGGGTAAGAAAGAGGGATAAGAGAGCAGAAGGAGGGTGGGAGAAATAGAAGCAAGGCAGGAAAGAAAGTGAAATCACAAGAGAGAAAGGCTTTAGCACCTTGAGTCCCCATCTCCATTTTTGTGCCCCACAGTGCCAAGATGAGTGTCTGCAGTCTTTGCCCCATCTCTGCAGCCTGGACCCAGAATCTGCCTCACTCTGACCCAGAACTTTGTGGAACTACAACCCCACCGTTTGTCCACTGGTGGGCCTGGGGCTCAGAAGCCCCCCTTAGATTCTCCCTGGGCTCTTGCAGTTTAATATTCCTGCTCCTAAGTAAAGAGGCCCCATTGGTGGTCCTGCCTTCCCCTTAGACGACTGCAATTAGCCCAGTAACAGGCTGGGCACTCCACTCAGGTGCTCCTAGAAAGGAGGTGGGAGAGAGGGGTGGCCTGTCAGTGGGAGTGCGGCCCTTCTCCTTAATTAGATGACCTCCCCAGTCCCCACACCCCCAGCTAGAGTCACCATGGCAACAAGTGGGTGAGCAGATTGCCTGGGGAGGACACCAGGCCTGTGGGTGGTGAGGCAGGAACAGGCAAGGAGCTAATGAGGGGACTAGAGGAAGAAGAGCTACACCGGCTCAGAGGTAATCTAACTCCTTACCCCTGTAGCCCACCAGCTTGAATCACTGCTGACCCACATGCTTCAGAGGTGGTCAGGGTCTGTCTGAGGTGAAAGGTCTGGTTCTCAGTACTACCACCTAGGCAATAGCATTAAGACTCTGCAGCCCTGTTCATAAGCCAAACCTAGATAGCTTCCCCTGTCTGAACAGTATGTGACCTGAGCCAACAGGGGCTGGGGACTCATCTACAAGGACTGGGAAGGGCCAGGATTAGGAGGGCTGTGGAGCTTGCTGGACCTGGCATGCAGGGAAAAAGAGGAAATGTCTCAGAGCTAGGTAAAAAGTCAGCTGGCAGACTTGTGGAGATCTTTCACTCTCCAGTTTCTCAGCTATGGCTGCATATTACAACCACTCAGAGAGCTTTTAAAAAATATTCCTGCCTAGCGGGACACAGTGGCTCACGCCTGTAATCCCAGCACTTGGGAGGGTGAGGCAGGAGGATCACTGTGAATTCGAGGCCTTCCTGGGCTAATAGGGAGTTCAAGGCCAGCCTGAACTACATGGTGAGATCCTGCTTCAAAACAAAGAAAGAAAAATAAGCAAAAAACCATAGGCACACACATACATCCCTGCCTGGGTCACATCAACCCCAGACCAACAAAGTCAGAATCCTTGAAAGTACCCCACACAGTTATAGTTTTGCAAAACACCCCAGGCCAACAGGATTGAGAACCACTAGTTTAGTTCCACTTTATCATTTTATAAATGGGAAAACTAGGGTCCAAAAAGGGGGAAGGACTCATCTAACAGCCATATCAAATAGTGGCAAAGAGATTCTCGATTCTTCCTATTGAACAATCCTACCAGCGACTGAATTCTAAA